TAAGAATTTTGAAGATCTAGATATAACATGTGTGTTTCCATTATTCAGACAATTAAGGGAACTTCAAACATTTTAATTTTTGATAGTTTTTTAGTAACTTATTTCAATAAGGGTAAAACAATAGTTTGCATTATTCTGAATTTATATCACATTATCATGACTTTAAGTCAAATCAAATGAATTGATCTCCACCCTGTAAAACTTGTCAATAAACCAAACTGATATACTTATGAATAATCACTTTTTAATATTGATTACACTGGTTGAACTGGTCACTTCAAGAATCACCACTGAACGGAACTAGAAGAGACAATCAGAAATTCGATGGTATTATATTTTTCTGTGATGTATTAGTATCAAGAATACCATTATACTTAAGTTATGCTCCATAACCTTTAGGGATAATACAACATAAATTTATTGGTGTTTCTAGAATTTATCCAAAAACACTTACTTATTCCAAGTCGTTAGGATATTTAGATCACTTAAACACTCGAGATTATTTCAGTCATCTTGAAGTTCAAGGTATTTTAAGCCTTTTGGGGTTCAGGGGTATTTTAGTCATTTGAATATCAGAGGTTATTTTAGTTATTTCGTAGTTCGATGACATTTTGGTCATTCTTTTCAATCCAAACATACGCACTTTTTTTTATAATTGGTCAAGTATGTCTTTTCTGGGTTATTTTTCACCTTCAAGGGAAATCTTGGTCTTTTTATAGTACAAGGACATTTTGGTCAAATTACAATTCAAGGGTATTCCAGGCCTTTCCTTCTGTCCAATATTTCCATTTAATTTAATTTTTTTCCAAATAATTCAAACATGAATAGTACTTCCAATATCTTAGTCTGTAGGTGCTTGCTAATAAATCAACAATTATAGTTCTTGTACATTCTCGAATGTTAGGATCTGATTATCAGTGACTATCCGAGCAGATTGTAAATTTAACAAGTGAAACAGTGATTTATCGAATTAAAAAAATATGAATTCTCAAGGTACTTTCGCTCTCAAGTCAGTCCAAACCATTTTTACCACATAGGGGCAATTTTATAATTTTATAATCATGTGATTCTGATATTAAACCTTTTAACGAAAATAATTAGAATTTAATAATTCTGAGGTTGATTACTTTAACATTTAATCATTGAACCTAATATTATTTCTTGTCAGTCTTCCAGTGTCTTATACGAGTAATCTGAGTTTTATTCAGTTTAATTACTTTTCATCACATTTGGATCGAGTTTAGAAATATATTAATTACACCCATGTATCCAAACATATTTGTCTATGCATTAACCATTGCCATCATGCTCTATAAAGCATACATAAGGTAGTAATGTATTACCTCAATTTGTGAGCCATGTCGATCGACCATTTAAACTCCATTCGATCACCCTCGAACTTTAATTCCACATCCCATAATGTCTCGGATACATAGCAAACGAATTTACGTTAGAAGCTGAACTTAATTGAAAAACCAAATTGAATCCAAATTGAATCGGACTCAGGACGTCGAAAAACATAAAATATGACTTTTCAAAAAATTTGAATTTTTGGGTCAAAGTCAACGGTCAACTCTGGTCAAAGTTAACGGGTCGGGTCAAATTCAACGGGTTGGGTCAGGTTAACTTGGTTCGGGTCAAACAGATTTGATTCAGATCGGGTTGGCTGATTCGGGCCGGTCTAGACTGACTGGACCAGTTCTAGAAGGTTTCCAGTCCAGGCAGAAGAGCCCAACGTGCACTTTCGGTGCGTGGCAGCGCGTGCGGCGGCAACGGGGCTCGTTTTGAATGTTCGATTCTCCTCTGAGCAACTACACACTTAAAATAATCCACATCAGTAATTTAACCAACCCAAAATAACTTAAATAAAGCAGAAATATGAAAAACTTACCCCCAAAATGGTGATCGACGACGGGATAACTTTGGTCGATGAACCTAGTCAGGTTTTGATAGGAATCGCCTGGGGAACACAGTGCTGGAGGTGGTGAGGTTTATCGACGACTGGAGCGGCCGGAAAAGATAAAAAACCTAGGGAAGAAAAATAGGTTTTTCGTGACGAGACTGCAATCGTTCGTGCCCAACAAACGGTGTGTCTATACAACGAGTGACCTATTGGGTTGCGGTCGAAAAGAAGTGGCACTTCAGTTGGGGTCAGCGGTGACACCCACCGACGGACGGTGGCATCAAAACAAAGAGGGCGAACTGATGAGTTTTTCACAATTTCACGCATAATGGCGACTGGAACGGGCGATCGAAGGGCTGAGGTTGGATCGTTGTTGAACTCAGGGGTATCGACAGTGTACACAACCACCGATCGGAGGCAGCTGGTCGGTGGGGGCAATGGGGAGGGGTAGTTAGGGTTGGAGGAATATGGGTTTTGGGGGTTTGCTTTTTATTCCATCCCCCCCCCCCCATTTTGCTCGGTTTCAGATTGGGGAAGTAATTTTTTTTCTCTGTCAACATAAAATGGGTAAATTCAGTGTTGAGTCCCCAAATTTCCTTTAACTTTCTAAAACGGTCTATAAACTTCAAAAACTTACAATTTGACCACTAAATTAGGAGTTTGACAATACAAGATGAACCTCAAGAGAAAAAGCAAGAAAAAGATTAAAATATTTAACAAACTAAAAAGTTGTAAGTTTTAAGTTGTAACCAATGTTGGTTACACAACAAACTGGGTATTGTCTTGTCGCAAAACGATCGGAACTTTGGTGAAGTCATAGTCACCATGAAAAGGTTACATTCAACAATCAAATTATTTAAGGGTAAAGTATAGTAATGGTCACTGAACATTTTTGAAGCTTGCATTTAGGTCCCCCAACTTTTAAAACTTGCAATACAGTCCCCCAACATTTATTCCGTTTGCAATATGGTCCCCAACTTAAATAACTGTTAAAAAATTAGGGTAAATTATATAAACGGTCATTGAACTTTTTAGGCACTTGAATTTAGGTCCCCAACTTTTAAAATTTTCAAAACAGTCCCCCAATAATTTTATTTTCTTATTAAATATAGATGTATAGAAAATATAAATGATTCAATTTATATTTAAATGTATGAATCATTTATATTTTTGATATATTTTATTTTTCTTGTATAAACTAGTATTTAAAATATGTTTATATTTTAATCAAAATATTTCAATATACGAATAAAAATATATTTATATAAATGTATATTTATATTTAGATGTATAAATAAAAAAATATATTCATATATTAATGTATGAATCATTTATATTTTTTGAATATTTTATTTTTAATAAGAAATTAAAATTATTATTTATATTAGAAATACTCAACTTAAGATTATATATATATAATCATGAATTATAAATATGAAAAACATAAATATTAAATTTAGTTTAAAAATATATAAATCTTAAATTTATTCTTTTAAAATATTGTATCAACTAATATTTAAAAAATATATTAAATCTATCAAACAATTTATCAAATATAATATTTTTTATTGTAAAAAAATATAATATTTTCCCATCATTTATTGCTTTCAAATTTTTTGCCGAAGTTCAAATCTCATTATTTCCGTTTTCCATTATATTCTTTTTTTTCTGGCATTGGTCATACTATTAGTATATGTATTATTGTATATCTCTTAACACAAACGATGGTGTTAGCTTAGTGGCTCCACCATGTATCTTTCATTTGCGTGACTCAGGTTTGAGTTTGCCCAAGACCCAAATTTTACTTCTTTGTAACTTAATTTTCTTCTAATTAGGTGGTGACATGTGTCACCAATAACATATATCATGATCATGTGTTAACATATATCAGATCCTGGTTAAATGATTAATTTATTAAATTTTATTTAATTTAGGACCAAATTGATAGCATATATAAATAATTAGGTGGTGACATGCGTCACCAATGACACGTGTCATGATCATGTGCTAACACATGTCAGATCCTAATTAAATGATTAATTTATTAAATTCTATTTAATTTAGGACCAAATTGATTATATAAATAATAAAGATTGAATGTATAATAATGTCAATTCCTTTTAACTGCCACTTCATCATTTGTATCAATTGGTAACGACTAGTGGTTTAGTTGAAATAGTTAAATAATTATATTGTATGATTGATAAATTTAAAAGATCGATGACAAAAGTAAAAAGGGCTAGATAGTTAAGTTGTCAACCTAGTAGTTTACACTTTTATTTATACGTCAAAATAACATTTTATAAATTTAAAATTCGAATTATTTTCAACCTCTTCTATATCCTAACTACTTTTTTTAATTAAAATTTTTTTTCAACAGATAAGAATTATACTATTATATTTATATAAAAAATACGTATCACATGAAATAAGATGAAATTAAATAATAATAAATCTGACATAATTAAATTTAATTGAATTATTTTGGAATTTAGGGTTGAGAATGAAATTGAATTACTTTGGAAATTGGGGTTTAGAATGAAATTGAGGACTGTTTTGCAAGTTTTAAAAGTTGGGAGACCTAAATTCAAGTGTTTGAAAAGTTTAATAACCTTTTATATAATTTACCCTAATTTCTAACGGTGGTTTAAGTTGGGGGACCATATTGCAAACGGAATAAATGTTGGGGGACTGTATTGCAAGTTTTAAAAGTTGGGGACCTAAATGCAAGCTTCAGAAATGTTCAGTGACCATTACTATACTTTACCCATTATTTAATTGGTAATGGTAATGGATCGGCTTGGATTTCTTGCATTACAAAACAATATTTATGTTGGATTGGATTTGCAAAAATTGTTCAAAATTCAGATTTGAATTTAGATTAATTTTAGCACTTTAATAATGACGCAATGGGAAAAGTACGCTATATAAACAAGTTATCCGCGTCTGACATAAATACAATTAAGCGCTTTTGAAACCCCCCGCCCTGTATAAATAAGATTTAACACAGCCAGGCTAGACACCATAACACGGCTCTGACAGAGAGAGAGAGAGGTTCCCTTTCTCTCTCTATTTTTTCTTCTTTCCCAGAGATTTAACTTAGTTGCAGCAGCAGCAGTCCAAATGGGACATTGGGTTGATTCCAATTCCCATGTTTCATCACATTTTTGTCTGCTGGTTTTGGCTCTTGTTTTCTTCTCCGCCAATGGCTGCGATTTGTTAACCGGAAAGTGGGTTTTTGATCCATCTTATCCTCTTTACTCTGCATCTGCTTGCCCTTTCATTGAAAAGGAGTTCAGTTGCCAGAAGAATGGACGCCAAGATCTGGTTTATACTCAATATCGATGGCAACCTCTCGATTGCTCCTTGACAAGGTAATCTCTCTCCCCTGTTGCCTTCTTCTTTTTCTCTGGATTTTCAACGATAATTAGCTTAGTACCGTGCGTTGTTGTGATGCATAATTTGAATACTTTAGCCTCCATTGTTTCTCATTAGAGGTAGTTATCGTCGTCTCCAATAGACAGCAAGGTAAAAGTCATGGGGCTCAACTTTCTTCTCTTTTTTTAATTGCATGCCAGTTAGTATCGAGTTATTATTATCACACTTCCAAGGCGCGTGGATCCATGTGTTTGTCCTATATTGGGATTAGGAGGTGTAAGATATTCCAATATATAATTTGTCATGCTTTTCCACACTCCTTTGTAGCGCGTGTATATATATCATCTCTAGGAAGATTCAATTAATAAAAATACAGTATTGATGTACATAATTGACATAGATTCTCTATAGATTCTCTAGCTCGTGGAAATGGAGGTGTTCTTTTTCGTTGTTGGATGTCTTTTATGTATTCCCCTTTCTACCCTTGATGTTTTTGATTGATTTGCTTTTTTTTTTCTTTTTGTAGATTTAATGGATTGAAGTTGCTAGAGAAGTTTAGAGGGAAGAGCATAATGTTTGTGGGGGATTCTCTAAGTCTAAATCAATGGCAATCATTGACGTGCATGCTTCACTCTGCAGTTCCTACTGCCAAATACAACATTACAAGACTCAAGGATCTCACCACATTCGAGTTTCTGGTGCGGATTTTTACTCTATTTTATGTAGAAAGATGATAGTTTTTTTAGCATATAGTTTGTGAAAATTTGCAGGATTATGATGTAAAAGTAATGCTGGATCGAAATGTGTATCTTGTGGATGTTGAAATGGAAAAGATCGGGAGGGTGTTAAAGCTCGACTCCATCCGATCAGGAAAGTTGTGGAATGGAATTGACATGCTTATCTTCAATACTTGGCACTGGTGGAATCGTCGTGGTCCTACTCAACCGTACGTGTCATGTTTAAAATATTATACTTACGATTCGGATTTTAATATCAGTAATTTGTTTGAATATCGTTTTTCAGATGGGATTTTATCGAATATCAAGGTGTGGTTAAGAAAGATATGGATCGAATACAAGCTTTCGAAATAGCTCTCAACACGTGGGCGGGATGGGTGGATGAGAACGTTGATCCTTCAAAATCTCTAGTTTTTTTCCAAGGAATTTCTCCCTCTCATTACAAGTAAGCTTAATAAAAACATGCACAGCAATTCGTTATGTTTGTGGTTTAGTAATGAAGGGGTGTTATGGCAGTGGGACGTTATGGGGTGAACCGAAAGCAAAGAGCTGTGTAGGCCAAAAGCAGCCGTTTCTGGGGACAACATATCCCGGAGGATTACCGCCGGCGGTGGATGTGGTGAAGAAAGTAATAAGCAAAATGAGAAAGCCGGTGAAGTTGCTGGATGTAACATTGCTGTCATTGCTACGGAAAGATGGACACCCTTCCATTTATGGGCTTGGAGGATCCACTGTATTGGATTGCAGCCATTGGTGTCTAGCAGGAGTTCCAGATACATGGAACGAGCTTCTTTACAACCTTATTCTTTGAAAACCTCTCATTTCTTAACATCCAATTTTGTAATAAAAAAAATGATCATGTCTTAATTAATAATCAAATTTCTCATTCCATTCTTATTATATGATCGATATTTACATTTTTAATAATAATTATTTATAATTAAGATACCTTTACTTGAATGTATCGAGAAACTTTAGTGATAAATTAGAGTGTTGTTTTACACAGAAATCTCGAATTTTAGTCTATGCATCTACAATATATTTGTATATGTGTACATCCAATTTTAAAATGACTAAAAATTTTCTGAACATGTATTACTTTGTAGTCACCCTAGCTTAATACAAAAATATATGTACTCAAGAAACATGGTCATGGTAACAAAATTGCTAACGTGACATTTTTTTAATTTTTCAATGATGACATGACATTATCATATGGTAACACATCAACATCATTGTTATTTTTTTAATGGTGGATGACCAAAATAAAACCAAATAAGAAATGATTTTAAAATAAAAAATAATTGAATGACTAAAACAGAACAAAATTAATAGTTGAAATATTAAATGTGTAGTTTACCAAAAAAAAAACGAAGGGTTTGTCCAGCTCAAAATACTATACATTCAATAAAATGAATTTGAGTTGGGCTTGGACAAATAAAAACAAAATGTTTCTAGTCCAACAGCTCGAATACACACCTACTATAATATGCAATATTGCACGATAGATTGTATTAACAAACAATAGCTTAGACATCATCAATTGATCGTTTTGACTGTTGATTCATTAACATGTTTTCGTGATGTTTTGATTGTTTGGATTCACTAAGAAAATTTGTGAAAGTATAATTATAATTTTATTTATATCATTAACAGTTTAAAATTATATTTCATGTTCTATTCATCTTATGTGTTACTCGTGTAGACATAAATAGTTAATATCGTATCACAGATTGGCCTATTTGCTCCCTTTATAATTTCGTTGACACTCATTAGCTACTTTCTAGTCCCTAAAGTTCAAAATCTTCAAATTATTAGATTTCTGGTTTTCAACACGTTTAATGTTTTGAAGTTTCATATTTTCCACCATGTTATTTAATTTGATGTTTTTAATAAGTGCAATAAAAAACTATTACTTGAACCAAATCAAACTGAATGTTTCGATTACTCGATCAATCCATTAACCAATTTAATGGAAAACAACATGAAATTTATACCCCCAAGGACCAAACAACATGACAAAAAAAAATGGAAAACAGGGTGGAAAGCAACGTTGATTGCTCCCTCTCTCTCTCGATCCGAACCCTGCTTTAAGTTTGCTTATCGCTGCTTCTGCACCCTTTTGTCCCGTATAGGCAATTCAATAGGCTTCTGAGCCTCATGCGGATGATCCGGGCCCATGTAAACCTTCAGGTGGGTTAAACAATGCTCTACCGAGCCGGAAAAAAGGCGAAGATTGATGCAGACCTTAGCAATAATCAATAGAAATCATGCATGCTGTTTTCGACGAAACAGATAATTAAAGAATGATGACAGTGGATTGAATGCAAAAGCTGACCCAATCATGGATGATGATTAAAGACTTGATATATTGTTTCATAAGCCTTAACAAATTGAACTAAATTACGAATTATGAGGATTGTATACGCAAACCGAACCACTAGTCATGTCAAACAGTTTTCCACATCGTTTTGCTCACTCCTACGATTGGCACTTTTAACTTCCTACTCTTGCTTGTCTTTCGAAATTTGCTCATTCCAGATTCTTTCATCATCAATGCTTAACCACCCTTTTTAGCAAACCTTATTACCGAGGTAAAGCTTATTTGTAGAGAACCTCAATATCTATGTTCAATTTATCAATCTAATTCATAGCGTGCATAAGCAGATTTCACGAAGCCAGCCCGGTAAAACTATTACAGCAAACCTACTCAGCTTATCAACGTGTGCACATAGAATGTCCAGTTCAGTTTTTTTGTCAGTCTTGATTTCAAATCTATATACTGATTCATATTGAACTCAGATGCACAATATTAGTCTGAAATTTTAAACCAACTCACCCTTCCTTTAGGAAGCATACCACGAACAGCGTGCTCGAAAATTCTTTCAGGAATTCTTTGCTGCAGCTGGTTGAATGTTTCCACTTTCATGCCACCCGGTCTTCTTGAATGCCTCCTGTAGAGCTTCTGGGTCCTTTTCTTTCCAGATACAGCAACTTTGTCAACATTTACCTATTAAGTTGATGTCAGGAAGAATTTTTTTCAGATTTTTAGTTCAAGTTATAAACATATTTTTGGAACCATGCAGTATCACTAAAGCTCCTTCCCCTAAATAGCCAAAATAGTATAGATCGTAACATGATCCTTTAAGCAATAATATCAGTTCCCAGAATATGTTGGAAGAAGAATTACGGGAAAATAAAAAATCAAAACAAACTATTCTATGTCCATACTGGTCTACCTTATGGAACAAGATAATGACTACCAATATGATACATAAAGATCAGTAAACGCATGTAAAACAGGTTGATATGCAAGGAAAGGCCTTTCATCGAGTTACTTAACAACCATGGACATTACATGCTGATGATCCGGTTTACTTTATCATTCCTCAAACATATAAAGTAAAATCCTGCAGAATAACCAAGATCAATATTCCACAACTGAAGAAATGTCGAGACGTCATGGGGGTGGAATTAACTTGCGTCATTTTACAATCAAATCAACAACTTATATCGTATAAGAGTATGTAACATAAGCTTTTTGTACAGCAATTGTAACATGTAAAAAGCATGCTAAGCACCGGTTTCTACATATTAAGCCTCTTTCCTACATGTAACTAATGGAAAACAACAAAATAAACAAGTGTTCATAAAGAAAACAACTCCTGAAAATAGTCTTTAACAAGAAACCTAATAACAACAAAAACCACATACCACTATCACAAAAGCACCCATATCGAAACTAGGAGTGTAGGTTGGCAAATTCTTTCCACGCATATGCACAGCAATTGTTGATGCCAGTCTTCCCAGAATTTTGTCAGTTGCATCAACAACATACCATGGTTTTTCAGTGTTAATGTGGTCTTTAGCTTTGGGGTACCATGTGTTGTTCCAAATATCCTGTAAACAAAATGAATATGATTCAAATTAAGTAGGCAATAAAGGAGGATACCAGAAACATCATCAAAGAACACAGTGGGAAGCATATAAATTATGCAAAATGTTTCAGAAGTTGAATGCAATATGACATTAATAACTTAAAAAGAGAGAGAGCGAGGAAAAAGCAGACAATGTAAAGGGAAATCATGTTTAAACCAGCAACAATCCCAATTTCAAGATTAAAATGAAACAAAATTTGAAGAAGAAACAACCCACCAATTTTCACCAAGAAAATCATCAGTTCTATAGTCATAAATCATAATCACATTAACGGAGCAATTCATTCCAAACCCACGAAAACAAAAACTCTCTAAGAAACAAAAAAGCAAGGAAATGAAATACAAAGAGAGAGAGACAGAATGATTACAGGGCCCTCAGCGTCGGATTCCTCGAACATCCAACGTTGGTTTTCAGGGACAACAGAGAGGTCCTGGCAACAAACCCGGAAATCCCGTTTACAGAAAGACAACGTTGTTGTCCGAGCAGCAGAAGGTTTCGACAATGCTACTACAGGGAAGAACCCAAGAAATGAGCTTTGGTTACTGGGAATATTCCTTTTCAATGAAGCAAATGAAGGTCTCTCTGATGAACAAGGAGAGAAGATGGCCGAGGTCCAAGCACAAAGAAGTGCCATTTTCGTGGGTTTCTCTTCACTCTTGCTGTTTCAATTAACTGCTTGAGAAAAAGTAAAGCCCAAACCTTCCATTGGCATTGGAAAATGAAAGTTTAACCAAGTCCTTGTACGGTTTAGGCTTTCGAAATTTAATTTGTTTCCTTTTATTTTGAAGAATTAAATCCCTCTTTTCATTGGAAAATCAAAATTAAATTGACAAATAGCATTAATAATTTCTTATTAGATTTATTTTTTTAATATTTAAATATCTAAACTAAAATCAAATTGATAATGCATAAACAATTTATATGTTTCAGTTTTAGTTTTTTTTAGTCTAGAGAAAACTATTAGAATGATCAACTAACTTTTAAGGTGTTATCAATTTAATCACTTAAAAATTTGTAATTAAATCACTAAACTTTTAAGTTGCTATCAATTTTGTCACAGTTATTAAAAATCGTTAAACACTTGGTGACAATAACTTTTGTTTTGATAATTAAATGGCATAATGACAAATTATCCCCTTAACGTTTACATAAATGCTCATTTTGTTCGTATTCTTTTTTAGAGTATTTTAGCCTTTAATATTTTAATTTTTTTGTCAAAACATAAATTATTTGATGAAAATCGTTAGTTAATTAATTGTCAACACATGTTGCTGATGTGATATTTCTATATGTATTAAATTATTAATGTGGCATGTCACTCACTCAAAACGATGATGTGGCATATATCATATCATCCAAAGCAGTATTATAACATATACTATGTGTTGAGTTAATCGATCTACGGAATCGGCCAAGAGGGGGGTGAATTGGCAATTAAAAATTTCGTGGAAGCTTTTGCAGAAAATTTAAAGTAATTGCACATCGATTTACAGTGGTTCGACTTTCTCAAACAAAGTCTACGTCCACTACCTTAGCTATCCACACTAAGGATTTTCCAACAAATTCACTAATTTGTTCTTTCTTTTGAGGCCAAAGAGATAACCTTACAAAATCCCTCAAGAGTATACCCCAACTCTTGAGAACACTCTTTTTCCCAAAGAGAAGATTACAAATTTGCAAACTTACAAGAAAACCTCACAAGGTAAGATGTTTGCACAATTCTAGAACACAGAAAAGAACACTCAAGGATAAATACAATTGAGTACAAAAGTGTTCTTGAAAGCAAATGAATATTGGATGAAAAATAGGCTTGAAATACTCAAACTTGAGGTTTGATGCTTTCTCTTTGATTCTCTCTTGATTCTAGTTGATTGATGTTTCTTGTTATTGATCAATGACTTCTAAGCTTGCTTAAATACACCTTGGATCACTTCTGAACGTTGGGGATGATTAGAGAAGATATTATAGCCGTTTTAGTGTGAAAACATTTAATAAAACAGCTTGGAGCGTGGGGGGAATCGGTTTCCCCTTGAAGGGAATCGGTTCCTAAGTGTAAAATTCAAATATTTCGACCGTTGTACAAGAGGGAATCGGTACCCCCTTGGGGGGGATCGGTTCCCTCCGAGCATACTGGAATTCTCGGAGCAAAACTGTTTAGGGGGAATCGGTTCCTCCTATGGGGGGAATCGGTTCCCTCCGAGCATTCTGGAAATCTCGGGGCCAAAACCATTTAGGGGGAATCGGTTCCTCCTATGGGGGGGAATCGGTTCCCTCTGAGCAATCTGTAATTTTTGGCTTTGAATTGGTTCGAAATACTTTGTAAAATTATTTTGAAATTGTTTTATGATTAAAACTTAATTTTACACTTAAGGATTAAAAATGATTTTTGAAATATTTGGAGTAATGTTTTGATATTCGAATATACTTAGAAAATCATTTGGAAAATCTTAAAATCCATTTAACTTAATTTGTTATATCGAAATATCAAAAATGTTTTCAACAATCTCCCCCTTTTTGATATAACAAAACATTTTAGTAATTTTAAGATTTTTGAAATCAAGTTTTGAAATTACTCCCCCTTACTTTAACACTTCTTCAATTTATTATGTAAATCATTTAACACCTATTCTTTTCCCCCTTTTTGTTAAATCAAAAAGATATTGTAAAACAAGGTTTTGAAATCATTTAGCCAATTGATTTATTAATTATAAGCTTAAGCTGCTAAGATCACAATCAAAAGAGAGGTTAGCCATTAGTTTCATAAATCAATATTCATAAATAATGTGATATGACAAAATTGGTCATATTGCTAATGATGATGCAAAAATGAATAAAACATATAAGTTCACACTATTCATAAATCCAAAATCCAACAATCCACAAAATCAAACAATCCAAAATATCCAAAATGTTGAAACAATATTTTTTTTTGTTCAAAGTCTTAAAACTAAACACATAATCAAACATCCGGATCGGTAGGAGGAAAACGGGCTCGCATAGCGGCCATCTCGTGTGTGAGTTCATTGATACGAGCGTTGGTTGATTCATTGTTTGCACGCATCTCCCGAAGAATCTCTAATTGTTGAGCTCCCATTGTGGATAAATGAGACTCTATAGAGGTAAAACGCGAGTCCATAGTCGCATATCGAAAATCAAATGTCTCCATAAAGGATTGAAAATATGGAGGCATTTGAGTCGACTGTTATGCGTGCTCCTCGGGTTGTTCAGGCTCATCTTCAGCTTCATCGATATCCCTCATTAATTGTTCAAACTCGGGATCTTCGTCAGCTTCGGGTGGAGCTTGTGATGAACTAGCTCCCGGAGTATTTGCAGAAGATCGAACCCATGCACCGGTTTCCTTATTTTTGACCCATCCCGCTCTTGTTAAAGAAAGAAGATTGATTTGTTTCTTAAGAGGAAATGAGGCATCTAGACCAACTTGGAGTTCGGCTTTAGAAAAGAGATTACTAAGGATACAACCGTAAACTAGTGAAGAACAGAGTTTCTTATTTGGCACTAGGTTAATGGTTTCAACAATCTCAGCAAAGATAATCTCGGAGAGATTTATTTTTATATTGTGTTCAAAACAGTGCAACCACCAAAGATCTAAAGCTCTAAGAGTTGAATATCGACCCCCGGATGGTCGAAACCACCAAGTGATTATGAGATGAAGAAAACGCTCATGGAGATTTAGAACACTTGCACTATCATTTCGTTTATAGCGAGAACCTAAAACTTGTTTTTCGTTTGATAAACCTTCATTATCCAAGCCTAAGGCATTGGCTATGTAAGCCGGATCAATATGGAAATATTGACCTAGGAGGTAAGAACGTACTCATATGGTTTTGGTTTTGTCACGATTTTTGATACAAACGGCATTACAATAGAAGATACGAACAAGTTGATGATAGACAATTGGTTCAAGTTCGAAAAGTTTATCAAATTTCCAATCATGCAAGATAGGGAGATATTTGAAGTTAATATCAAGCATAGCTTGAAGAGATGGGATACGTTCTTCCCTAATCTTATACGAGTCAAAATATTGGTAAAACCAAAAACGATAATCTTTAGGACCCGGTTGATTGAAACAAGAATTTTGGATAGTCAAGTTGGGATCACGGTTTGGAATAGGATTTTGAGGGATAGGAGGAGGATTTGGAGGTGGATTTTGTTGACGACTAGAACGACTAGATGAAGACCTAGGACGTTTAGGATTTGACATGGTGAAGGAAATCGGAATAAATAGAATAACCTGCAATTTTAAAACAAATGTATGCAATTCAATTAATCCCAAAACTCAATTGAGTCCTCAATATTTCAAGGTTCTCTAAATCAATCCTAATGGGCAAATTTTTTGAGAAACTTTTGAAAATATGGTTTTGAGAAACAATATATGATAGTTTTCATAATAACAACATAATTTAATCAAAACACAATAATTTGAAAAACATTTTTTTTTAATTTCAAAAATTTAAAAGTTTTTGAAAATTCTTGTGTTTTTGATGAAATTAGTTGTAACATCTAGTTTCTATTCACTAAACAATCAATGCCCGATCACTATTTCAACCTAGAACTAATTAAAACTAATCCTATGTTCAAAAACAATGAAATAGAGAGTTTAGAAAAATTACCTTGAAAGATGAAGATTGAGGGGATTTAGATGTTGTTTGCACGATTTTAATGATTCCAACAGGTTTAGAAGATGATATTTGGTTCGAATTCCGATTAATATCGTTGATTTGAGGCAAGAAAGGAGATTTGAGAGGAGTTGAGAGGAAACAGCGGAAGAGAGGGTTTTGAAAATTTTGGGGTTTTGGGTGTTCTGCCCGATTTTAACAGAACCCCAGGGGGGTATCGATTCCCCTGTGGGGGGAATTGGTTCCCCTTCAAAGGGGGAATCGGTTCCCTCAGGGGGGGATCGATTCCCTCTGCACCAAAATGCTAAAATCCGATTTTTAAGCACAAAATGCTAAATTAATCTTTTCTAGTGGTATTGGCAACTCATATATCAAAAATTAATTATGTTCAAACAATTAAATTAATCTTTAATCGATTTTTGAACATAAAATTAATTTTCACTAAGAATCACAAACTCCCCCAACTAATAGCAAGAATGCAATAAAAAATTATTATTATAAGCATTTTTCAAGATTTATTAAAAGTGCTAAAATTATTTTAAACACTAAGTGAAGATAGGTTGGTCAAACCTAATTCTCTCCTAAGTGTCCAAAATCTTTCCTTGTCTAAGGGTTTTGTAAAGATATCCGCTAATTGGTGCAAAGTATCAACAAATTCTAGAACTACATCTTCCTTAGTGACATGGTCTCTAATGAAGTGATGTCTTATTTCAATGTGCTTAGTTCTAGAGTGTTGGATGGGATTTTTAGTGAGACAAATAGCACTAGTATTGTCACACTTGATAGGAATGGTACCTACTTCAATTCCATAATCAAAAAGTTGTTGTTTCATCCATAAAACTTGTGCACAGCAACTACCGGCTGAAATGTATTCCGCTTCAGTGGTAGATAATGCAACACAATTTTGTTTCTTTGAAAACCAAGAAATCAACATATTTCCAAGGAATTGACAAGTACCGGAGGTGCTTTTCCTATCTAATTTGCATCCTCCATAATCCGCATCAGAAAAGGCATGCAAGCTAAAGCTAGAGTCTCTAGGATAC